TCACTGTGCAATAAAGGATGCTGAGTCTGTGATGGGCATGGCTTGTGTCTATGGGTACACAGTCTCCAGCCACCGCCAACGTGGCAAATGTCACCCGTGTCCTCTGCTGACCCCTACATCTGAGGCTGCCCTTCTTGGGTTTCTGACTGTCACCACAGCCTTGTCTCTTTCTCTTTTCCCCACTCCTGTAGGCCCATTGTTCCTACTGGGCCACTGGGGAAGCTTGGGGGTCCCAGGGCTGTCTTGGGGCAGGGTTTGGGCAGAGAACACACTGTCCCAGCTGCTGTCTGTGTCGGTGCTGAGTGTGGCCATCCCAGGCCCTGAGAACCCTACATCTGGGATGCTGGGAGCCAGGACCTTCCAGAGTCTGGGAGGGCATCCCTGTGCCTGGGCTTCTCCAGGAAGCCAACCCAGGGAACATCAGAGTGGATACACCTCTACCTGTTCCGAGCAGCAGATCCCCTCCCCAGCCCCTTGGGTCCTCCCCACTCCCTGCCCCCTAGCCCTTCATCCCAGTTCTCCAGCCCCTCCCCTCCCAGCCCTTCTCCAGCCCCAGACCTACTCCTCTCTCCATAGGTGGCCTCTCTGCTCTCACAGCTGCTCCCTTCCTCTTCCTGGGCCACTCTGATTTGGGGGGCATCCTTACTTAATTGTGACCCGCTGATGTGGACAGAGGTTGACCTCTGTTTGCTGTGGACTCTGGCTGTGTCATGGAAGGGCTCAGAACTTACTAAGGCTTCTCCTTGTCACACCTCTCCTCTCCTGGAGGTGGGTGGGGTAACCTCCCTGCCATGCAGGTCTGTGTCTGTCTGCTCCTGACCTGGAAGAGCAGCTTGATTCGGAACCCAGACTTGAGGCGCCCCCAAAGCCCCCATATGGCCTACTCCAGAGTCTCTCCCCAGTGCTGATGGCTAAGCTGGCTCCCTCCCTCCAGCATTCTTGTCTTAGGGCAGGCGCCTGCCCCAAGGCTCACACCATAATCCTGCAGCCTACCTTCACCTCCATTGATTATTTGGGGCCCCCATCAAGGCAAACTGTCTCCACCTTTAAGTAACATTGAAATCAGCACACTTATCAGCCATCACCCTGGACTTCTACCTTCTCTCAAATTCTAACCTGTGGTCTCATTCCCCGTGGCTACCAGCTGTCTGTGGAGAATGCTGCCTAGTTTGAGGCTCCCCTTCTCACTACTCTTAAGAAGATGGCAAATCCTAATCAGATAGGACTTCCAGAATTATCCCCACCACAAGCTCAAAGCCCTTTCAGGCAGCAGGACCGCAGCCCCCTCCTTCCTTGGGACCTTTGCACATGCATCTACCTCTGGGAAGAGTGTCCCTGTTGCCTCTCTTCACCTGCTTGAGCCTCATTCCTCAGGTCCTCTCCTACATGTTCTCTATGCCTTGAGAACCCCTCCTGCCCCACCCCCTTGGCCCCCTTCTGCGGAGCACCTTGTCATGAAATAGTCATGCACACAGTGCATCTCTCATGCAGCATCCCGCTCACCTGCAAACATTTCATTGGTTTTATTGTTGTTTGCTCGAGTCAGTCCTCAGGGCTGGTCATGGTGGCTTTGATGGACACTGCTCTGCTCACCACTGAAGCTCCAGTGCGGGGCTGGCCCTGGTGGGGCACGCAGGGACCACTCACTGACCAATGACAGGAGGTGTTTGCTGAGTGGCATCCTGACAGGGAAAGCCCCCATCAGTGAAAAAATGAAAACAAACCTAAGCTTGGGTCTGGAGAGGGTTTGCCAAGAGGGGGTCAGTCCCAAGAGCACCTGAGCCCCTCCTCTCTCAGAAGGTCCGTCATCCACGGAAGGGGCTGCTCTTGCAGTTTTGTGTTTTGACCTGCTGAGGTTTCTCACGGAGGATGGGACCTGTTCACGAAAAAGAGTTTTGATGCCCAGAAGGGCCATGTTCCCACAAAACAAACCTGCTGGCTCTGAGGGCCATTCCCTGAGAAGACGCTGAGGTGAGGGTCTGGAGCATCCACCCCAAAGTTCCACAGAGCAGCATCAGATTCAGCTCTTTCTGTTAGAATCGTGGACCCCAGGCATGGAAACCGCCCTCACATCTTCCTGTCAGCAGAGTGAGTCTGCTAGGACCTCCTTCTCAGGTTGTTTGGAGGACTACATGAGGCTGTGGGGAAGATGCCCAGCACGCAGGGGTGAGCCTTATCCGGATGCAGGGACAGGAACATCTCGTATGTGGCTCGATCACTGGCTTCCCTCAGTGTGTCTGGCCCCTTCACAACCCCAGGAGCAGAAAAGGTGATCTCCATTTGGCAGATGAGGAAACAGAACCATTTAGGTGGCCATTTTTCTTTTCTTTTTTAAAATTTGAAGTTATTTTGGTCTCCCCTCAAAAAATGCTTAGACTTAATTCTTTCAATTAACCTTGCATACACTTCTGCCACTTTTTTTTCAATTGACATATAATTCACACACTACAAAACTCACCATTTTGATTTGGGGAATTCAGTGGTTTTTAGTATATTCACAAGGTTGTGCAACCAGCCAGCACCATCATCTAATATTAGAACTTATCTTGCCAAAGAGGAGCTGCCGCCCACTAGCAGTCATGCCCATTCCCTTCTCCCCAGCCTCTGGCAACCACTAACCTACTTTTTGTGTCTATAGATTTGGTTTATTCTAGACAGTTCACATAAATGGAATTGTACAATATCTAATCTCATTTGTCTGGTTTCTTTCACTTAGCATAATGTCTTCAAAATTCAGCCATATTGTAACATTGTATCATGTGTCAGTACTTCATTCTTTTTTTTTAATTAAAAATACTTATTTATTTGGCTGCATGGGGTCTTAGTTGCTGCATGTGGGATCTGTTTCCCTGACCAGGAATTGAACCCAGTCCCCCTATATTTGAAGCACAAAGTCTTAGCCACTGGACCACCAGGGAAGTTCCAGTACTTTATTCTTTTACAGACAAATAATATTCTATTGTTAGTATATACTGCATTTTGTTCATCTGTTAGTCAGTTGATGGACATTTGGTTGACTATTATGAGTAATTGTACACAAGTTTTTGTGTGGATATAGGTTTTCAGTTCTCTTCATATGTACCTAGGCATGGGATTGCTGGGTCAAATAGTAACTCTAAGTTTAACTTTCTTTTTTTTTTTTAGTAACTCTAAGTTTAACTTTCTTGAAGAACCACTAATGGTTCCAAAGTGACGGCACCAGTTTACATTCCCACCACCAATGAGTGTAAGGGTTCTAGTTTCTCCTCATCCTTGGCAACATCTGTTATTTTCTTTTTTTTTTTACAAGGTAGCTCAGACACTTGAGAATTTTTCTTTTTTAATATTTATGTATTTATTTGGCTGCACTGGTTCTTAGTTGCTGCATGTGGGCTCTAGTTTCCTGACCAGGGGTCAAACCTGGGTCCCCTGCATTGGGAGCTCAGAATCTTAGCCATTGGACCACTAGGGAAGTCCCAGATTTTTTTTAATATGCATTTATTTGATTTTTGGTGTTCAGATCTTGCTGCTCACGGGCTTTCTCTAGTTGTGGTGAGCGGGGGCTACTCTAGTTGCAGTGCTTGGGCCTCTCATTGCTGTGGTTTCTCTGGTGGAGCACAGACTCTAGGCACATAGGCTTCAGTAGTTGTGGCATGTGGGCTCAGAAGTTGCGGCTCACGTGGGCTTCAGAGTGCAGACTCACTAGTTGTGGCACATGGGCACATGTTGCCCCACAGCATGTGGGATCTTCCCAGACCAGTGATCACACCCAGAGCAGTGTCCCTTGCATTGCAAGGCAGATTCTTAACCACTGGACCACGAGGGAAACCCCAACATTTGTTATTTTCTGTGTTTAACAGCCATCATGAAGAGTGTGAAGTGGTGTCTCACTGAGGTTTTCATTTGCATTTCCTTCATGACTGATAATATTGGGCAACTTTCATGTGTTTATGGCCATTTGTGTACTTTGCAGAAATGTTTCTTCAAGTTTTTGGTCCTTTTCTTTTTTGGCTGTACTACATAACATTCAGGATTGTAGTTCCCTGAACAGGGATCAAACCAGCACCACCTGCAGTAGAAGAGTGCAGTGTTAACTACTCGTCTACCAGGGAAGTCCCTTTTGCCCATTTTTAAATTGAGTTACTTGTCTTTGATTATTGAGTTGTAGGAGTTCTTTATATATTCCAGATACTCTGCTACTTTTAAAAAATTAATTAATTGGTCTTCGTTGCTGCATGTAGACATTCTCTAGTTACTGTTCATTGTGGTGCGCAGGTTTCTCATTGTGGTGGCTTCTCTTGTTGCAGAGCATGGGCTCTGGTGGACACAGACTTCAGCAGTGGCAGCACACAGGCTCAGTAGTTGTGGGACATGCGCTTAGTTGTTCCTTGGCATGTGGAATATTCCCCGACCAGGGATCAAACCCATGCCCCCTGCATTGGCGAGCAGATTCTTATCCACTGTGCCACCAGCGGAGTCCCTCTGCCACTTTTTAAATAAGCAACAGTATAAGGTTTCATTGTTTTATGTGAATGAGTAATGAGTTTATGTGCTCAGTCATGTCCGACTCTTTGCAACCTCATGGACTATAACCCACCAGGCTCCTCTGTCTATGGGATTTTCCAGGCAAGAATACTGGAGTGGGTTGTCATTTCCTTCTCCAGGGGATCTCCCAGATCCAAGGATTGAATCCATGTGTCCTGTGTCTCCTGCAGTGCAGGCAGATTCTTTACCCGCTGAGCCATTGGAGAAGCCCCCGTTTTATATTGTGCATAGGCTAAAACCAGAGTTACACTGACTGTTGGGAGGGAGCACATCAACAAATGTGTGTCTGAAGTACTAGGAGAGACTCACTTCTCAGCCCAGTCTGATTCAATGTACCTCATCCTGATTCTGGGTGAATGCCTAACCTGAGTGTTTCCCTAATGGCTTGTGAGCTGGTGTTCTGCCTCACGAGTCTGCGGGGAGAGGTGGATTCACATGAGCACCATTTATCTCAGAAAGGTGTGTGCTGTGAGATGATGTGTGGGCTGTTGACCCTTCCCTGGTGGTCACTGCGGTGCTTCTCCAAGCCAGGAGCAGCTGGGTCTGGCCCCTGTTCACCGAGACCCCTCGCCAGCCATGTGGAGTGGAAACCCAGAGCTCTGTCCGGACAGCAGGTCACGCAGGTGTGTGTGGTCTTGCAGGTGGGCACAGGTAACGGGTGATCTCACCACCCCCTCCTGAGCCCCAGAAGGGATGAAGCTTTGCCCACACCAGGAAGTGTGCTCAGTCCCCATGCTTGAGAATGCAGCACTATCTTCTAGAAGCTCTGTTTTGATCCCAGGTAGGATGATGAGTGTTCCTAGGTCTGCCATCCCATCTCTGAGAGTCCTCCAGCCACTGCAGGCACCCCCCACAGCTTCCCTCCCGGGAGCCTAGGCAAGGCCTTGGGCCAGTGAGATGGACCAGGAATAGTACAAGAGGGTAGAGCCGGACCAGGGAGGGGGTGGTCCACATTTGTTATGACAGAATAATATGTGCTGTCTATGTGTCTCCTGTGTAGAAAAAGATGGGAGGAGACACCAAAATGTTAAGGGTGCTTATGTCTGGCTATTGGGATTATAGGTGATTTCAAGCTTATTTTTGCAGGTGCTTTTCATTTTTCTCCCGATTTCCACAATAAACATCACCAACCTGAGCTGGCCTGACTGGCAGGGCACTGGGCAGGCTGCTATGAGATCCATGAAGTGAAGCCAGTGTTGTCAACCCCCTGACACCTTCCCTGAGAGCCTTGTACAGATGCCCAGGATTTCAGCACGGGGTCTTGATGGAGGCAGCCTAGAGATGACATGCAGGATGGGGTGAGGGCAGCTCCCTATGTGAAGGCACTCCACTGTCTGGTTTGCCAGAGCTGTGCCCTGTTCTTTCCTCCTCCAAGGTTAGTTGGCAGACTATGCTTTTTACTTTTGCTTGGGGGAAAAATACCCTTCTGGCCTGCAGAAAGACAGAATATTCCAGAAACCAAATCTGAACGAGCAGACCATCTGTTCTGTTTAAATCTTCACTGAGCTGAGCAAACAGTCAAACGATGCTGCAGGTGGAGAAAGGGCATGATGCAAAGGTCCCCATCACAGCGCTGTGCAGTCACGGCCCCAAACCCACTTTCCCCAAGCCACCCATCACTCTGCCCTCAGTTTACCAGGGTCAAAAACATGCCAGCAAGCAGTCCATACATTGCCCAAGTGAAGAAAGCAGGACAGAAACCCTCCACTCTCCTGCTCTCGCCCTGCAGTCAGGCAGCCTGGATTCCTCCCCAAAGCAGCATGGGCCACACCAGCTGGCTGTCATGATCCCATGTGGAACTGAGGGGACCAGAGAGCTGAGAGAGTTTTGGTCTGAATGGCAGGCTGGACATGGAGGGGAGAGGCCAGGGCAAGGAGTAGTTCAGGGATCTGAAAACCCCATGAGTGTTGGGATTGAAGCTGGTGACGGGCAACACAGGCTGGAAGGGACAGGAGAGAGGATGATGGAGTTAGAGGCCAGAGTGGAGCGGAGGCCTGGGGACACAAGGCCGTCAGGGTGACTCAGGTCTTGTCTGGAAATAAGTAAGTGTTCATACGAGAGGCGTAGTCTTCCCAGAGTCTTGGAAGAGTTTCGGCAACAAGAACCCATTACTGGCAGCCTGTCTGACGGGCGTCTGATTCAGCCCCCAAGATGCATTACTCAAGCCTCAGTGCTCACAGGGCTACACCCAGGGGAGTTAGGGTGTGCCCACCCTGAAGCCTTTAGTCAAGGAGAAAATCTCTCCCAGGAGCCCCTGGCCAGGGACTGGGCTTGTGCCATTGCCCGAGCCTCTTGTTGGCTGGGAAGATGGCAAGACCTTGATTGGGGTGCAAATACCCAAAGACCAACCAGAGGAGGAGGGCAGAGGTGTGTGTTCAGATCTGCCTGTACTGAGGAAGTCGCCCTCATCACTTGGTCTGGCAGAGACTCATGGGCCAGCAAGGGAGTGGGCAAGCTTCCTGGGGGAGAAAGGGGTGCAGGTGTGCCCCGGTGGCAGCTGGGGTCCTGGGGAAGCTAGAGGCAGCATCACTGGAAGGGGACATCTCATGTGACTGGTTTGGGGGAGGGGGCACATGCTTGGCTTTCTCTGCTTGGTCCTGAGTTGGAAATAGGGACAGAAATTGGGGAAGCTGTCAGTTGGACAAAGTGCTGGCCATCCGGGGCCAATCATTACAGGGGTTATTGTTTAGCTTCCTGGGTTGTCCCTAGAGACAGTAGGCTGGCTTCCTTCAAGTCTGACTTAACAGCAACCGACTTCCTGGGCTGGCTGCTGTAGAGAAAGGGTTGGTTCCCTTGACTGACCACTGCGCTTGTGGGTCAGAGGACTGTTTTTATAAATAGCCTGGCTATTGTCTATATATTCAGTCTCTCATTGGCTGGTGCTAATCGGCATCTCCTCGGCTGTGGGGACCCTTGCCTCAAGTCCAAGGGACATCTGAACACAAGAATCAAAACAGTGGGGCAGGGGCCACATAGAGCAGTCTTCCAAAGACACTATTTAGCAATGGTCTCGTGAACGGTGGCCACGACTTTTCCAATCACTAGTAAATGGGTGACCCCACTGGAAAATGGAACCTAGTAAATTAAAAGGCCAGAGATTTGATTGATACATTTACCTGTTAGATTTTTATTAGTATGAATCAGTCCCCAAAACTCAGGTCACCTCTGTGTGCACTCTGGCAGGGGTTCCAAAGAAAGATCACACAAAGATCCGGTAATGGGATCAGAGTATCAGACAGGGAGCCTTCCCAGAAGGGGCACCAGTCTCTCTGAAAACCATCACATGGCTTCTACTTAGAATTTCAACATTTACAGCAGATTAGGGGGAAATGTGCCTATCAGCACGGTTCTTTTCATCTTATGACATAGTGGAATATAAACATAGTGACAGATTTGAGTTGGATTATTTATTCAAATCAAAATTGATAGTAAAAGAGTTAAGTTTCCTGTTGGAGTAGTATTACGTTTAAGGATAAATTTAGTGCTAGAGGCAGCACTGGGCTTGGGGTTAACTTAACTTTAGGGTTGGAGTTTGTTTTAGCTGTAGTTCTACTGGAACAGGGCCCACACTTATTTATTTATAACGTTATTAACACTCGGGCTTCCCTGGAGGCTCAGACGGTAAAGAATCTGCCTGCAATGCGAGGAGCATGGGTTCCATCCCTGGGTCAGGAAGATCCCCTGGAGAAGGGCATGGCAAACCACTGCAGAATTCTTGACTGGAGAATTCCATGGACAGAGGAGCCTGGTGGGCTACAATTCAAGGGGTCGCAAAGAGTCAGACAAGACTAACATTTTCACTTTTATTAACCTTCACTACATTTGTAAAGGCCCATCTCTAAATACAGCCACAGTGGAAATTGGCACTCCAACATGGGGGTTTGGGGGACACACAAACATTCAGCCTTAGTCTCAGGGTTTAGAATGGTTGACTGCTTAGGGTTAGGGTTAGGGGTAGGCTGTGGTCAGTACTAGAGGTAATGCTAGACTCACGTGACAGGGAGGAAGCTACTGTTAGGATTAAGGTAATTTGGGGGGGGAGGGCCTGTTAAAGCCAGGGATTAGAGAGAGTTTTAGGATTAGGACTCGGTTTGAGGGAACATTATGTTTCTCTTTTTTTGGCTGCCTGAGGTCTTCGTTGCAGAGTGAGGGCTTTCTCTAGTTGTGGCCCATAGGCTTAGTGGCCCAGCAGCATGTGGGATCTTAGTTCTGACCAGGGATAGTACTCATGTGCCCTCATTGAAAACGGAAGTCCCAGGAAGGCAATATTTCATCTACTGTGAGTGGTAGGTTCCAAGTCTGAATTAGGGTTAGAGTTCAAGTCAGAGTTAAATGAGGCTGGAATCAGGGTCACAGTTATAGTTAGATTTATGATTAAGGGTAGGAATGAAATTTAGAGTTAATGACAGCCTTAACTTTTGGGTTAATGCTAGTTACCATTAGGTACAGGGTAAGTGTTAGTGCTAGGGTGGTAAAAGTTTAGGGTTAAAGTTTGGTTCAGCATTAGGGTTAAGTTTAAGGTTGCTTCCCTTGTGGCTCAGCTAGGAAAGAATCCACCTGCAATGTGGGAGACCGGGGTTCGATCCCTGGGTTGGGAAGAAACCCTGGAGGAGGGGAAGGCTACCCACTCCAGTATTCTGGCCTAGAGAATTCCACAGACCGTATAGTCCATTGGGGTCGCAAAGAGTCAGACACAACTGAGTGACTTTCACTTTCAGGTTAGGGCTAGGTTTAGAATTAAGGTTAGGACTTCCCTAGTTGTAAAGTGGGTAAGAATCTGCCTGCTAATGCAGGGGACACAGATTTGATCCCTGGTCTGGGAAGATTCCATATGCTGTGGAGCAAGTAAGCCTGTGCGCCACAGCTACTAAGCCCGCGTGATGAAACCACTGAAGCCCGTGTGCCTAGAGCTTGTGCTCTGCAACAAGAGGTGCCCTGAGCACCACAGTGAAGAGTAGCCCCTACTTGCCATAGGCAGGGAAAGCCAGTGAGCAGCAGCAAAGACCCAGCACCGCTAAAATAAAGAAAGAAAGAAAAAATTTTAAAACAACAAAATGTACCTTTAAAAAAATTAAGGTTAGATTTAGGGTTAAATTGAGTTTTAGTGTTAAAGGTTGGATTAGAATTAAGGTTAGTTTAGGATCAAGACTGTGTTTAGAGATGCAATGATAAATCTTAACTGAGACAATATAAGAATTCACTATGGTGAGGATATAAGATTAACACAGAGAAATGCATAATAGCCTTCACATACACAAATCACAAACAGCCTTCATATACAGTGGTAGAGCAAATGATATGCAATATCGCGAAAGAGAATAAACTACTTAGGAAGAAACTTGAAAAGGAATGTACAAAACCTGTAGAAGGGAAACATTAAAGCATTCCTGTAAGACACAAGCCTAGATGTGAATAAATGGAAGATATATATTTCTTAGTCTTAGAGATAGAACAAGTCAATATTATTATGATGTCAGTTTCCCTAAGTTAATTTATAAATTCAACACAGTTCCCATAAAAACACCAAGATCTTTTGTGACATGGATGAGTTGATATGAAAGTTTATAGGGAAAAATTACCAGGATACAATAGCCAGGAAATCACAAGCCACAAGCCCTACCAAACACTGAAACATGAAAAGTGTGGTAGAAAACAAAACTTAAATAGTAAGCAGGCAGTAAAAGGCATTATCTCTTTGAATTTAAAGGGAATGCCTATATAGTTCTGCCATATGGTGGGTTTGGCTTTGACCTGAGGTTATTAATAAAACATTTCTTACACTATTGAATAACTTTAAATTGTCAATGCAGTTGAATTTTGTTCAACTATCTGTCTTGTATCTATGGAGAGGCTTGTCATATATTATTTTAATTATATTGACTATATTAATTATATTATTATATTTTAAATTCATCTGGAAGGCATGAATATGTGATAATAACCAGAAAAGTACAAAGTTAGAAGATAAATTAGGAGGACACACCCTACAAATTTTAACATATTGGTACTAATTTTGAGGCTCCTTGACACCAGGACAAATATAAAGAACAGACCAATGAAATGAATTAGGAAGTCCAAAAGCAGAATTCTATTATAAAGATAAGAAATATGACAAATACAGCTGCAAAGAATTACTGCTTTCTTAATAAACGTTTTGAGGATAAAACTGCTAGGTATCCGGAAAATGGTTTCTATTGCATTACATGTTTTTGTTGTTCAGTCGCTAAGCCATGTCTGACTTTCTGCAACCCCATGAACTGCAGCACACCAGGCTCCTCTGGCCTCCACCATCTCCCAGAGTTTGCTCAGATTCATGTTCATTGAGTTGGTGATACTATCTAACCATCTCATCCTTTGCCATCTCCTCCTTTTGCCTTCCATCTTTCCCAGCACCAGAGTCTTTTCCAGTGAGTTGGCTCTTCGAATCAGGTGGCCAAAGTATTGGAGCTTCAGTTTCAGTATCAGTCTTTCCAATGAATAATCAGGGTTGATTTCCTTTAGAATGGACTGGTTTGATCTCCTTACAGTCCAAGGGACCCTCAAGAGTCTTCTCCAACACCACAGTTTGAAAGCATCAGTTCTTCAGCGCTCAGCCTTTTTTATGGTTCAGCTCTCACATCTGTACATAACTACTGGAAAAAACATAGCTTCAACTATATGGACCTTTGTGAGCAAAGTGATATTTCTGCTTCTTAATATGCTGTCTTGGTTTATCATCGCTTTCTAAAATTAATATAGGTTGAGTAAAGTTTTAAATGTAAAAGAAAACCATTAATAATATGTATCAAATTTTATATTATCTTGGCAGTGGGAAATCTTTTTAAACATAAGAGCAAAACATAAAATATTTAAAAAATAAAGGCATAAAATACAGCAAAATGTGTGTATATATACACATATATATGTGTTGCATATATGTATATAACTATGTGAAAAGCAATGGAGAAGGCAATGGTGCCCCACTCCAGTCAGACACAACTGAGAGACTTCACTTTCACTTTTCACTTTCATGCACTGGAGAAGGAAATGGCAACCCACTCCAGTGTTCTTCCCTGGAGAATCCCAGGGACGAGGGAGCCTGGTGGGCTGCCGTCTATAGGGTCAAACAGAGTCAGACACGACTGAAGCGACTTAGCAGCAGCAGCAGCATGTAAAAAGCAAAATTCTTTAATCCACAAAAAAACCCACAAATGAAATTAAATGAGAAATGATGAAATAAAAAAATCATAGCATATATGTCAAGTTTTTATATTCATATACATTGTCCTTACAAATCACTTGTAATATTTTTTTTAAAATCACTTGTAATATTGCCAGCCTTCTGGAAAACTGGAAAAAGTACACATATAGGACTTGCATAGAGAAGAAATACAAATGGTCTATAAATTCATGAAAAAATATTAAATGTTGAATGTAATAAGACACGACTGAGCAACTGAACTGAACTGAACTGAGTAAGACACGCGAATGAAAACATGAGATACCAACTTTCACACTTTCACGTGGCTTATGAAAAGCAGGGATGCATCTTAAAAAGTAGTCTAGGGAGACAACATTCATTTCAAAACTGACACAGCAGAAATAGCAAGTCAATATTGTATTTAAACTTAAGACCTTGGAAAACTTTTAAATGTTCAAAAATGAGTTCAGTAAGCCGTGGTTGAGCATAGAAAGGAACATAATGCTACCATTAAGACTGTTGAAATAATATTTAATGACATGGGAAGATGTTAAGCTAAGCAAAATGAAATAAGTAAGTATAGAATAATTATAGCTCACAGTTTTGCAAATTATATGGTTGTGTGTTAAAGAGGCAGGACAGGAAAGAGATCTTACTGCTAAAGGTGCTGTCTTTTGTATGACCTCACTGTGTCTTTATTTCCTTTTACTCAGCCCTATCCTCTGAAGTTTATGCTCTGAACAAATTTTATGTGGCAGTAAGAAAAAAAATATTCTGAGCCCAGATCACACCCTTGGCAAGGAACTGTGCCAGTGAGCCTGGGGATGTGGGTCTGGAATGCAGCCTTCCCTAGCATATTTCTCTCCACCCCTAAGGAGAGCAGGGTGGGCAGCAGGGATCAGGGGACAGTGATGGGATTCCTAGGGTCTAGGGACTGAGCCTGCCCTTTCTCCTGGGAACGGATTACAGCTGCCTCCATCTCCTCTCAGCTTTACACCATGGGCGTGGCTCCAAGGACCACGTGACATCCATAGGACCCCCGTCCCCAAGCTCTGCGTTTCCCTACCTCCTCAGCTTTCCCGGGTCCCAGAGCCTCGCTGGGCACCTGCAGATATCGGGCTGCAACTGGTGTGGACACCGAGAAGGAAGAGGGCAAGCGAAGCCCCTTAGAGAGCCGCCCCGCATTCGGGGCCTGACGCAGTTTAGTGAGAAAAAGAATCCATGGGCCATTGAGTGAGTGGTTCAGCGGGCTCTCTACTCTTGACCCTGGCATCCTGCCTCTCTGGTAGCAGAAAGCCCATCCTCACTGGAATAGCGAGGTTGGTACTTTTTAAAACATCGTCACTTGGGAAAGTGGAAAACTGGTAGCCACACATGGGGAACTTTTGCTCATTCGTGAAATCCCAGGGCCTGGGAATCGATGGTCTAGAGACAGCACTATCCAACAGAAATAGGATTCAGCCCACATATGGAATGTTAAGCTTTCTAGCAGCCACGCTGCATTTTAATCATATTTTATTCAACACAATTTATTGAAAATATTATCATATCAACCTGGAACCAATAAAACATTATTTAATACCACATTTAACTTTGGGGGGGGGGGGGTACTGTCTTTGACACCCAGTGTGTGTTTTCCACTGGCTGCACATCTCAGTTTGGACTCGCCCGATTGCAAGTGTTCATAGCCCTGTGGCTGCCAGCGCACAACACCACTGGAGAGCTCTGGAGGCCCGCAAACCATTCAGGACCAATCAGTGAATGGACCAAGGAACCCAGAGCAAGGCTAAATCGCCAGAGATCTTGTCCAGGAAGAGGAGCGCCGCGCGAGGTGCAGTCGATGGCCAGCAGGGGGCGCGGGCGCTCTGCGGCCGCCGGATTTCTCGTGTTTCTGCTCTATCCGTTCTGGCCCCTGGTGGGGGTATTTTTTGCAAAAACCCTGCTAGCATCTTCACTCAAAAAGAACACCCAGACATTTGGAGGTGGTCTGCACCCTCTGCACTCCCCTTCTAAAAGTTGAGGCCCTTTCCAGAAGGCCACACTCAGCAAGTGGTGGGTAAATACTCATAACCTAACAGAAGGCTTGAGTATTCATTGGATGGACTGATGTTGAAGCTGAAACTCCAATACTTTGGCCACCTGATGCGAAGAGCTGACGTATTTGAAAAGACCCTGATGCTGGGAAAGATTGAGGGCAGGAGGAGAAGGGGATGACAGAGGATGAGATGGTTGGATGGTATCACCGACACAATGGACATGAGTTTGGGTAAACTCTGGGAGCTGGTTTAAACTCTGGGAGATGGACAGGGAGGTCTGACGTGCTGCAGTTCATGGGGTCGCAAAGAGTCGGACATGACTGAATGACTGAACTGAACTGACTGAACACGAGGCCATGTTCAGTGGGAGGCCAAATGGGATAAATGAATGATTGTCATCCAAGGCTCTAGTGGGGTGAATGAAAGATTCAGGTGGCTACTCTTTCTTTCACATCTGCCAGGTTAAGCTCAATGTCAATATTTGAATACAAGGGCGGAACTGGCTGGAAGGCAAGACTGAAGACACTTAGTCTGACATTTCCAAAGCACTTAACACACAACTCAACTAATCTTCTCGACTAACTTCAAAGTGAATGCCCTCATTTCTCAGCTGAGGGAAATGGGGAATCTATCTTCCTGGGGACCCTGGGGAGACAGGAACAGAGATGAGCTACCCCCATAGAGACTAGCCACCCCCAACCAAGAACATCACTTCTCCCGTTCAGTCATTCCTTCCGCAAATATTTATTAAGAAGCTGCTGTGTGTCAAACATTGTGCTCTGGAGCAGGATTGTCAAGAGGAAGAGCAGAGCTCTGTCTTGGAAGGTCAGCAGTACCTGGAGGACAGAGGCCAGCAGGACCATAGGGATTAAATCCAATCAGAGTGACTCCAGGACACAAGTGGAGTGTCCGGTCCAACATTCCTCTCCAATATAGCCTAGGCTGGGGTGGGGGTTGTGTGCAGAGGGGAAGGCCAACCCTTCCACCCACTGGAGCATCCTGGAAGTCACTGCGGTGAGCCCCACACAGTCTTGCTCCAGTGATTTCAAGACTCCTGCAGGTGCCGCCCTGGCTTTTCCCAGGAACCTGGTTGGAAACCTCTTTGGTGAGGCTTGTTCCTCATCCCCAAAACCCCGGGTGGGGAGTCTCACCCATGATGAGCCCTCCCAGGTGAAGGAAGGAACAGTGATCCTGCCTGGGAGTTTGGGGGGCTGATCAAAGCAGAGGTGAGTTAGGACACGCATAGGCAGAGGAGGCCTCTAACCACCACCCCACCTGTGAAAGCCAATGGCAGAAGCTCCTGGCTAGTGGGAGGCTGCTGTGTGTATTCTGCAGCCAGTGGAGTCCCTGCCCTAGGAGACCTACACTCAGAACTGTACTGAGCTCCCAGAGTTATAGCTGCTGATAAGTTGAACTCTGACCCCAAATCCCCATGTTGATGCCCTAACCCCCAGGACCTGAGAACCTAACAGTATATGAAGATAGGGTCTTCAAAGAGGTGATGAAGGTAAAAAGAGGCCTAATTCAACAAGACCAGTGTCCTCATCGCCTCTTCTGATGAGAAGAAGAGAGCTGCACAGAGGGATGACTGTGTGAGGACACAGACCAAGGACCTCTATCACCATGCCAACGAGAGGCCTCCGAAGAAACCAGTCCTGTAGACACCTTGATCTTGGACTCCCAGCCTTCAGAATTCTGAAGCAATTAAAGTTCTGTTGTTTAACCCCACCACCCCACCCCTCCCTACCCCGGTCTGTGGTATTTGTTATGGTGACCAGAGTTGACCAATACACAACCACCCTCTGGTCCCTGCAGCATCTGCCTTCCCCCACATGCATGCATGGATGCATCTCTTCTTTGCCCTTTCTAGCTTGTGATAGAGGTTCTACATCAGCCCACTTGTACCACGGTTGGGGTTCTGCAGACACACTTCCAGCAGCCCACCCTCCATTCAAACTGCCTGACACTCCCATGGGAGGTGGCCCCTGCCTTCTGACTTGTGTCTAGCTCCAGTTGCTACCCCAGTTTCTCAGAGGCACTGATGTTCCTGGGAATCCGGACTGGTCCTAAACCACCAGACATGGGTAATCCTGCCGAGAGGGAGGAGGTGATTCGAGTTCCATCTAGGGGATTGAGGAGTAGCCTGGGAGAAGTGGAGGATACTCCCTGGCCACAGAATGTGGGACACAGGGCACTTATCTTAAGTTTTCCCACATAAAGTTATTAGTTTCCAATCTCTTAAAGTTAGGGGGAAAAGATAAAACAGACTGTGGGGAAGCAGACTTAGAAATCTACACTGGGACTTTACTGGTGGTACAGTGAATAAGAATCTGCCTGCCAATGCAGATTCCCAGTTCGATCCCTAGTCTGGGAAGATTCCACATGCCACAGGGCAACTAGGTTCGTGCGCCAAAACTACTAAAACACTTGCACTGTAAGCCCACAAGCCACAATTAGAGAAAGCTTGCGCAAAGCAGTGAAGACCAAGCACAGCCCCCCCAAAAAACCCCACAAATTAAAACAAAAGAAAATAAATCTACACTGTGAGCCACAGAGGTGGAAACGCAGACGTCCAAGCGCTACCTCTGACCCAGTGGGCCAGCCCTGCAGATTTCCCAGGTAAAAATAACTGGGCACTGGGCATTGTTTATAACATACACAAAACTGGAAACAACCTAGATTCCTAGACACAAGACAATCAATGCTACCAGCTCATTTAAATTGGTGATCATTAAATGGGCTTCCCCGATGGCTCAGTGGGTAAAGAATCCACCTGCAATGCAAGAGATGAGGGTTCAATCCCTGGGTTGGGAAGATCCTCTGGAGGAAGAAATGGCAACCCACTCCAGTATTCTTGCCTGGAAAATCCCATGGACAGAGGAGCCTGGCGGGCCACAGTCCACAGGAGCACAAAGAGGTGGACATGAATGAGTGATGAGCACACCCACACATAAGATAACAATAAAAATATGGCGACAATAAAAATATGCCATGTAAAGGGGGGAAACTATTCATATTCAATATACTATATATACCTACACACTCTAATTACAACATAAAAATAGATATGCATGTTGATAGAAACTAGAAGGGAACCGGAAAAATTAAAAGGAAAGATTATGTATAAAATTTTTTCATTTTAAACTTCCTTTAATGTTTTACAAAAGTTTTAATAGATGACACTTTAAAAATATTTCTATCTTCTGAACTAAAGCTTGTGTTCAACAAAGAAACAACTCAATTGAAGGATAAGAAGGGAGATGTCTCGTTTGCTAAACCCACGAGGCAGGCAGGAAAATACTGTTTGGAAAGAGAGAAAGAAAATATAACCCTCTCCCTGGACCTGAAGTTAATCCTTTTTTACTCTGAAGACCGGAGAAGCCAGACTTTGGAAATAAAAGCACATTCAAGGCTCTGATCCATGGCTCTGCCTCTTGGTGTCAGGTTCCATTTTGGGATAGATTCAGCTACAGCCGGTGGCTTGGGAGCAGATGGTGAGGCAGAGGCTCCAACAGTGGGGACAGCCAGGACCAGGGCTAGAGAAAAACAGGGGTTGGTCTCAGCCACACAGAGTCTGAGATGGAGGCAGGACAGGCAGCTCTATCCAGTGAGTGAGAGAATCCAACACAGGCAGAAGGTCAAGGGCTCTGGTGAGGACGTGACCCATTGGAAAGCAGTGAGAGCTCAGAGTCCCTCAACACTCAAGGTCAAGGTGTGACGGGCCACTGGGACCCAGAGGGGTGGCAGTGGGAGGTGACCAGGGCAGGAGCACAAATAATTGTTTTAAAAATGTATACAGAACTCCTAGCCCAATGGAAATGTAGACAAAAACCACAAACAGGCATCTCACCAACAAGCACAAAAAGAGATGCCTGGCCTCCTTGTTTTTCTGTTGTTGCTATTTGTATGTTTTTAAAACTTTTCTTTTGTACTGGGATATAGCTGATTAACAACGCTGTGACAGTTTCAGGAGAACAGAGAAGGGACTCAGCTGTACATACACATGCATCGATTCTCCCCCAAACTCCCCTCCCATCCAGGCTGCCACATGACATTGAGCAGAGTTCCATGCGCTATACAGTAGGTCCTTGTTGGTAACCCACTTTAAATACAGCAGTGAGTACACACCTATCCCAAACTCCCTAACTATCCCTCCTCCT